TTAGTATTTTAATATTAGTAGAATAGTATTTAGATAAATAGAAAAAAATTAAATAGAATTAAATTATTAAAAAGTTTATTAGATAGAAAAGTTAAATTAAATAAGATTAATATAATAATATCTGAAATATAGTAGATTAATTAATCTAATACTACTATAGATTATTTAAAGAAAATTATAATAGCTAATTATAAAGTTACTATATACTAATAAAGACTAAATATAGTTTATATAGTAATTAGTTTTTATAATATATAGTTAGTTACTATAGATTATTTAATAAAATTATATTAAATAGAGAAATAATATTTATCTCTAAATTCTAATAATTATTTATAGTATAAATAGATACTAGATATAAGCTTTTAATAGCTTATTACCTCTAAAGTAATAATTAAATAGAATAATTAAATTAAACTCTAGAATAATATCTATAAGTATATATTAACTATAAATAGAATAATTAGATATAACTATTACCTATAGTATAAATTATATATAATAGCTTAGTATAAGAATCTATCTAGTTTATATCTATATATATATAAATAATTATAAATTATAATTTTAGAATTAATTAGAACTTAATAGATTAAATATACTAGCTACTATACTTATAAAAGAAATACTATATTTATTATATATAGAAATAAAAATAGAATTTAAATTTATCTAATAAAGAATAAAAAAATATTATAATAAAAATAAATTAGAAGAACTAATTTTAAAAGAAGAAAATAAGATTTATTTACTCTATAAAAATATTATAATAATAAAACTAAGTAATAAATTAAATTATAAAAAACTTAGATTATTTAAAATCCTTAAGAAAAAATTAGATATTAACTATAGATTATTACTACTAGATATAATATATATTTATCTAGTTTTTTATATCTTATTATTTAAAAAAATATTTAAAAATATATTAAATTAAGATTATCTAATTAAAATTTATAAAAAGAAATTTAAATTAGAAAAAATTCTAAAGAAAGAAATTAGAAATAGATAAATCTTTTATCTAGTTAAATAGAAAGAGTATATTAATAATAATAATATATAGAAACCTATTAAATATCTAAAGAAGTACTAATATTTAATTTATTAATTCTACTAAAGAGAAAAAGAAAAACTAAATTAGAAAAATTCTCTTTAAAACCTAATAAATTTAAATCTATTTTAAAGATAATCTCTAAAAATTAAACTTCCTTTAAAATATATTATTTAGAAGCTTTAAGAAAGTTAAAAACTTAATTAGAAAATAGTTACTCTTTCTTATTAAGCTTTTAGAAACTATATTAAATTTCCTACTATATCTTACTTTTAATATATCTATATACTTTATAAATATACTAAATATATTTTAAAATAGCTAATAAATTACTTTAGAGTTAAATTATTTATTAATATAAAAAAAGAATTTTCTTATCTATATTAGATTCTTTTTCTACTAATTTTTTCTATTATATTATTAATTTTTCTATTAAAAAAAGAAATTAGAAAGATATAAATAAAATATATAAGAAGATATATATAGTTAGATATAACTAGTACTCTATTATAATAATAATTATTTTATATATACTTATTATATTAAAATAACTTTTTATTTAGAAAAATAAAATACTCTTTCTTTATTTTAAAATATAGAGTATATAATATATTAGCTAGAAAACTAAATATTTAAATAGTAATAGTAAGAAGAACTTATTTATAAATCTTAAAGTATATTATTTTTTTTATATAATTAGATATAGTAAATATTATAATATAACTATTATATATAAAGAAAGAAAAAACTTATTAAGATTATATAAAATTTTAAAAATAAGATTAATAGAAAGAAAATATTATATTATAAATAAAGATCTTTATAATAGATTATATAGTTATATATACTCTATTATTAGAAGAATAGAAATAATAAGAGTATTATATTTCTATTATAGAATAAGAATAGATTATTAGAAGTAGTATACTTCTTATACTCTATAACTATTATATATATATATTTATTTTATTAGATAGAATACTTCTTTAGATAGTTATTAATATAATTATTTATATATTTATTATTACTAGCTCTATAATATTTATATATTAATAGTAACTTATATTATATAGTTTAAAATAATCTAATTATATTACTTAGAATAATATTCTAATTAGTTTAATTCTAATCTATTCTAGATCCTATTTAGTATAAGTTATCTAACTATTATAATTAATAACTATCTAAAAGAGTATTTTTATCTAGTAAAATAAATATATATATATACTAAGGGATTATTAATACTTAATAATAATCTATTATTCTAAATTATTAGAATTATTATAAGATTTTAATAATCTATTAGTAATTAGTTAGAAAAAGTAGAGGTAATCTATATAACTCTAATATATAATAACATAATTTATAATATTACTATTTATAGTAAGTAGATTATAAAATAATAAGAGCTTTAACTTAAGAGCTTTATTCTCTTAGCCTCTTTATAACTATAGTATTTGAGTTACTATAACTTAAAATAGGTCTAGTAGTACTTACTTATATATTATAACCCTAGATCTTTAATAAGGTAAAAGATATCCTTAGTATAAAAAAGGAGATATAGAATAAGCTATAACTACTATTATTAGCTCTTTATCCCCTATAAAACCCTCCTCCTCTGAGTTTAAAATAGGGATAGAGAATATTAATAAGGATAAGGATAATATTAGATAGAGTAAGCCCGAGGAAGTAACTATCTAATTTACTATAAGTTTTCTTTAGTATTTCTTATATCTCTATTTTTTATAGTATTCTAATAAGTTTATTAAAATCTAAGTTTAGATAGAATATAGATAGATAGAAATATATATTAATAGGATAAACTAAGTTATTATAGAAGATAATAGTAGAATCTATAAAATAGAGTAATAAGCCCTTAGATAGTTATTAGAATATCTATATCTTATATTACTTAAAGCTAAAAGGGGTTTTAATTATATTTATCTTAATAATATAATAGGAGAAATTAAATTAATTATATTAAATAAGATACTAGTTTAGTATCTTAGTAAAATAAGCTATAATTACTTAGAAAGCTAATTAGTAGTTAGTAAAATAAGAGTTAGATCTTCTATACTTCTCTTTTATATACTATATTTTATTACTAATAGTATATCTATTCTATAGTATTTTCCTTATAATAATAACTAATATCTTTTAATATTTTATCTATTTTTATTTTAGTTCTTATTATACTAAATATATTAATATTATTAGTAGCTTAGTATAGAAGATACTTCTTAGAAATAGTAAAAAGAATATATTTATATATATATAAAGCTTAAAATAGTTTAATTTATAATTAATTAAAGGAAGAGGAATTATATTATACTATATTTTAATACTTCTAAGATAGTATAATACCTAGTAGTACTTATATACTAAGATAATAAATAACTTAATAGTTTTAGATAGTAATAGCTTCTCTATAGAATAGAATAACTATAGATAAGGTATTATTAAGATAGATTAATCTTAAAATATAATCTCTTATAGGCTAAGTATATAATAGTATCTAAATTAAGAACTTAAAATCTAAAACTTAGATAGTAGTATCTATAATAGAGTTTATTAGAATATTCTAAATTAAATAAAAATCTTTATATTTCTACTATATAATTTCCTTCTTTAGGAAAAAATCTTATATTTTCTATAAATAAGTCTACTAATAAGTAATTTTATAGATTATCTTAATATTATACCGGATAATATAGAGAAGATCTCTATCTTAGCTATAATAACAGGGTAAATCTACCCTATTATATTTTAACTATATATCTATAGAATTCTAATCTAACTCTTATAGTATAATTTATAAGATAAGGTAAAGTAGTATAGTAGACTTATTAAATTAATACTTAGAACTACTAACTATAGTAATCTAGTTCCTCAGGATAATAAATATAATCTAATAACTATTTATTTTATATTACTATTTATCCTTTTCCCCTTTAATTTTATAATAAAGAAGTTATAATATAAATTATAATTCTATCTATTAGATTAGATAATAGGGATCTTACTATAGCTTCTATCTAAATAATAAATAATTAGTAGAACTCCTATAGAAGTTAGCTATAAATAGTTAATAAGCTATTATACTAACTTAATATACTAAACTAAGTTCTACAGTTTAATTATTAATTAATATAACCCTGGGAGATTAAGGCTGATTAAATATTATTACTTATACTTCCTCCTTAATTTCAAGATATAATATAGGGATAGTAGGATAAAGATCTTAGTAAGGAAGGTATAGCTACTAAGATCTATTATATTATTATATAGAATACCTTCTTACTACCTGCTTAAGGTATTTTTATATAATTATAAATATTACTATCCTTCTGATATATATATATTATCGGTAAGCTTGGTTTCTGTTCCAGCGGGTATAGATATCTCTTAGTTACTAGATATCAGGAAGATTGTTTCTTATCTCTTCCACATGCCAAATTGAATAGCGACCCGGAACCTGGTGGAGATTGGAGAGTGGGGATGATGACATAGTACATATATCCCCGTTATTTAGACACTGCCCTTATCCGACACCAAAGTTTCCATTAGTAAGAAAATTTGGGCTCTCCGTTCCGCAAGAGCTATGATCCTCGTTCATCTTGAATTCTTGACATCACTGTTATACCATCAGCAAAATACTCGCCGACCAAAGTCCCGACTCCCACCTAGTCACGTTTACCTGTATGCAAGCTTTGTCGCGGCTCGATGCAGCAATCAGCAACTCCGAAGCGGAGGCAAGGCGCATGCCTCCAGTGCCGAAAACTGAAGCGAAGAGTGTGTAACTCACCAATCGACACAAAGGTGCACATAGGACGAGCCCAGAGCTAATCATCGTTTTGTGCGACCAGAAAAGCCCCAAATGTTCAGAGTGTCAGAGAAAGTGTCAGACTTGTAGCCTACAGATCTTCAAGATCAAGACCCTACACGACTCATGGCCATCGTCCGAGAGACACACGTCCCCCAGAAGACGCGTTTCCGAAAGCTCTACTATTACAGGTGGGTGATATTACTTGCCTCAATATGACCAAGTCTACTGACATCAATTGACAAGGTTACACATCGCCTCTCACAAGAAATGTCCCACTTCAAGAACCGACCACATCGACGGGTGAGGAGGAAGTAATTGTTCAATCCAATGGGCCAACATCTCCCTCCTCTAGTATCGGTGACAGCTTTTGGGTCGATCTATGGAACGCCCGTTCACCTTCCGAAATTGACACTTCTTCTTCGGGGGGTCCGGGTAATATGGAAAGACTTTTAGGAAGAAGTATCGTGGAAACCTCACTTATCGAGAGTCCAACAGCGACAGATTCCGACGATACTCGCATCGCCACTCCCGATAGACGCTCTTCTGAACTATCCTTGAGCTGCGTCCCGACTCTTCAAATGACTACAGCTTGCCCGCAGCTACCCCCTGATCTACTCAACTCCACCGTTCGTCGTCTTTTATGGGACTACTTTGTCAACCGCGCATCGCAGGTATTCCTTTGCTGGGAACCAGATGATGCTCATCTTGACAAGAAATACACCGATCCATTTACAGACCATCTTCCCGCAGTGGCCGCGGGAAGCCGCCCCATGATGCTCGCGTCACTCGCCCTGTCAGCATTTCATTTCGCTGGAGGCAGACACAACAGCGAGGACGACTCGTTGATCACCTCGTTGATGTCGGAGGCGTCCAATGCCCTCGCAGCATCACGCTGGCAGGGCCCTCAAACATTTGGACAGCTTCTAGCCACCGTTGGCACGGCATCTTTTCTCTACCTGTTGAAACCCAGCAGCTATTCGGACATGCTTCCTCTTGGTAGAAGCGCTGCATGTTGTCTGACGGTGAATCCTCGATGGAGACAAAACGTGAACGAGCCTTGCTACCAAGTCATAATGCAGATTTTTCGATGGTCGGATATATGTGCCCAATGCTCTCTGAAGCGGTATGTATCTGTACCAGACGAGAACACACAGCTCAACCTTGAGCTGCGGGAGGGTGAGCGGGCTACCAACATATCTGCTTCTTACGCGGAATGGTTTGTGCACCCGCTTTATGCCTTTGCAGAAGACCTGATTGCGCCACTGAGGCGAGTTGCTTGGCTAGCCCGACTACGGCAACAGGGACATGTCGTCCCTACCGGAATGACGGACGAGGCCGGGGCTCTCTGTATGAGTTCCGACAATCAGACTATAGAAGCAACGGACTCAACCGCCGCTTTCACGATTTCGACTGACCGCTTTAAAGCTCTCGTAGAAGAATCTCAGGAAATGATTCAGGCAGCAAGTGGTAGGGTTGGGCCAGCCGGTGCGCAGCTAGACGCCCCGGACCTCCGGACAAATCTCAATCGTCTAGCGATTGCTGTGGAGTCAGCCGTTGTTATTCTCTTCTATACGAGACTACGAGATACACCATGGACAAGCTCTCTGATTCGCTTTCACGTTCGAAAAGTTGTCGATAGCCTCTGCAATATTGCAGCCGGTTCCAGATTTGCCAATGGTGTTGTCTTCCCACTGTACATTGCTGGCCTGGAGGCCGTCGATACGGATATTCGGTCCATGATCATTAACCAAATCAAACATCTCCCTGGTATTTGGTCGCAGCAGGAATCTCAGCTGGTTACTAGTCTTCAACATGTTTGGGAGCTCAGAGATGCGGATCCCGGAGCGGTTTGGAGATCCTGGATACACAAAGGTAATGCACCCGATGAACGACCTCAAGGGTCTACAGATTGTGAAACTCTGAAGTATTGGACGGATCACTGACAAAAGCACTTAGTATCTGCGGATTATGAAGATTGTATTCCAGGATGATTATTTTTGTTGAGCCTATATCTGAAACTACCACTAGCTCTCTCCGAATCTCTTACAACAATCAAGATCGTGCAACGCTGAACCTTATGTGGTTGTGCCATACTTGACCATATCAGAATTACGACTATCATTTATGCAGATACTCTTCAATGCTTGGTCCTGCAAAGTGGTTCTTCGCGTAGCATACCCAATTCACAGCTCCTAGAACACCCACCACTGCAATAACTGCGCTGGCATAATCTATATGTAATCATAAGCAAAAGACCGAAGAAGGATTCTTGGGAGTGGGAATAATGGTCACTTACTCATACTGGAACCTGTCACTGGCATTGCGGCTGGAAAAGTGAAAAATATAGTAAGTAGGATACCGAAGATGACCACAATGATGTTGGCTGCCCATCCCACGATGTTTGGGACACGGAAGGGTCGGTCCAGAGGCAAGACGTCGGCTGACCGTTTGTGCCACAGAAGCAGCAGGGACGGAATAGTAAACGAAAGAAGCTGCAGGATGAGGCTTGACCCGATGATGGCAGAGAACGCGGCGGCCGATCCCAAATACACACAGCCACTCACAAAGATCACAACAGCATTCGCGAGAAGGGACCATACTGGGACCTGCTTTCGAGCGTCGACGCTAGCTAGCCAAGACTTCGCAGGTAGTGCGCCATCTCTAGCGAAAGCCCATGTCATACGGGAGGCTGTCTGCTGCACGGCGTTGACGGCAAATAAGGTGATGATGTGCAATACGACGACGAACACGGTAGCTGCTGTTGCGCTTCCAGTGGCTTGCCTCCATAATTCATATATGGGCATTCTAGACCATTCATTAGCAAAGTTCTGCTTCTACACGACTGGACGCAATATCTTACGTGGAACCAATGAGAGGCTCGAGATCCGTGATGCCGTAACACATGGCCACCGCAAACCCGAACCCGGTCAGAAAACCTATGGTGATAATGGCCATCATGGCCCTCGGTACTGTACGCTCCGGTTGCTTGCATTCCTCGGCGAGATGCAAAACAGCGTCGATCCCGCCGTACATGCTGGCTGGAGTGACGAGACCTGTCAAGAATGTAACGCCTGCTGGCCAACCTGTCGTGTTATCAAAGCCCGTCCAGATCGTTTCCGAGTTGTTCTTGGTGGATAGAGCAAGACATGTGACGAGAATGATGAGGAACATGAGAAGACTCAATGCAACTATATCACAAAAATAGGTCAGACATGGCTAACAATTCAAACAAAGATTGATCATTCCTGATACGTACAGCCAATATCATGTGTCCATGGTGCTCGTTTAAGACAGTAAATGTTGTAGAGAAGAAGAACGATATTGATGGCCTGATACACCATGAAGTAGTGCCATGCCAACGGCGTATAGGTTTCAATGTAGAAAGCGGGCACGGCCAGCAACAACTGTGCTGATAGAGTAGTAATGGCAGCAGCCAGGAAGACCCAAGAGCTGACTGCCGCAAGACCACAAGCATAGGACACTGCCCGGTTGACTTTCTGAGGACACAAGATGGACGTGAAATGATACTGTCCTCCGGCCGTGGGATAGACGGATGCCAATTCCGCAAGTGTGATGGCAACGGCCAGGTACGCGAACGAGGCGATAAGGACCCCGTAGAGGACGGTTACTGTACCGCCGGCGGAGATGGCAATGGCCAGCGCGGTGGAGATGGCGATCCAGCTGTTGCAGATGTTGAAACCGAGAGAGAGGATCTCCAACGGTTTTATGTCGCGCCTGAGCTGATCTTGCGGTGCATTCTCTCCGGCCGTGATGCTCGCGACTCGGTCCGGGTGCTCTGCCGACCCTGCCTCACAGTCCGAGGTCTTTTCTTTACCAACAGGTGAGTGAGAGTCGGGTGATTCCATCATGAAACAAGTTGCAAATGACATCTGTATCGACTGTCGTGTCTGTGAATAGAAAGTTCGTTCATCATAGTTATATTATAAATATACAGATTTTGTAGTGTGGCAACAAGTGGTCGTTGAAAACAGAAGAAAGTAATGCAATCTAAGATTCCCACTGGTCAATCTGCTTAATCAAAAGATAAAACCTAGAAACGATTTCACTCCTCCCGAAAGTCCGGGGGTTTCGAGCTATCCCAATGAGGAGATTCTACCGCCCGCATAGCACACCCTTTATCAGTAGTTAGAGCGGTATAGAAGCCAACCAACTGATATTACATCATTTGGGGCTACTAGGGAGTAGGGACTGGGGTAATTACAAACCAGAGAGAGAGATAGCTGCCGATAGTCAAGGGGGATAATTGCAGCACCAAAGCTACGGCTAGCCATGACAAGTAAAGCCTGTACTGATCGGATAAGCACGACCAGCTTGCTTGACACATGTCGGGTAGGTACCTGGGGTAAATTACAGAGGCCAGCTAGAAAGCCTCCAATAACGTACTTGTAGATAGGGACGCACACTTTTATTTCTATAGAAAGTTAGCATCCTTTGAGTTAGTTACCTTCTGAAATAACGAGGTACAAATAACAAGGAGTGGCTTGAATGATGGGTTGGGGTCACGAGATAAGGTTCCCCTCCTTGTTTGGCCTCAGTTACCAGATTAGGAAATTGTACCGCAATGTTCGACCTAAGCTATCTTGGGCAATTCTGCCGCTACAGCCAACGTTTGGTATATAGGAGACGGAAGTGGTGGGTAAGTCCACCCTCTGGATTAGCGGAATGAAGTGGAAGATAGCAGTTAATTCCGATTCGATCGGAGAGTAAGAGCGGCATGTTTCCCTAATACGGCTTACATCGTTTTATTATAAGCCCCGAGTTTGTCCTCGTGAAGACTTCCATTCATCTATATAGCACACTTAACGAATGCACGTCCCAAAGGAGCACAGACAAACCACCTTCTTACCAGCAATCGTTAGATCCAGCAGACTGAAGCAATGCCTGCAACAAAGTCGCCCCAGGCCGAAGAGCTATCAGAGCAGACACAAGCTCTTCTCGACAAGAAAGAAACCTACTCTGTCGGAGGCTTTGGGCCGTTACCTGGATTCATTGTCTCTGCCAAGGGCTCAACACTGAAAGTGAGCATAACTATTCCAAAGATAATCACTTCCCCGTTTCTGACAGGTCACAGGATGTCGATGGCAAAGAAATTCTTGACTTTGCCGTCACTATGGGGACAGTCAACTTGGGTCATTGCAATCCAAAAATCACCAAGGCCGTGGTAGACTCAATTTCAAGTGGTTTGTGACCTTTTTTTACCTCTGGCTGTATTTTCCCACGCTAATCAATGTGAGTCAATATTAGCTTTCCAAACAAATATTGCTGTTCATGATAGCCAGTGGCCCCTTGTGGCCCAAACTCTCTGCGAGAAGCTGGGTTATGACAGGGTCGCTTCGATGGTGACAGGAGCCGAGGCCACTGATGCTGCCGTCAAAATCGCCAGGAAATGGGGCATTGAGCGCAAGGGCATTTCTCCTTCTGACCTCCTCATTCTTGGATGTTCTGACAATTACCATGGCCTTTCTGCTGGAATTTGGACACTCATGACCCCTGGCTGCGGTCAACAAGGTAAAGCATATTTCCCTGCCAACATGCTGGTAGAGCCTTTTTTATTAACCTGGGCTAGAATACGGTATCACAAGCAAAAACCTCGTAAATTATGATCCTGAGACTGGTAAATCCCTACGCTATGGTCATGTTGAGGACTACGAGAGTTTGTTCAAGCGTGATCATACCCGCATTGCTGCTGTTATGATTGAACCAATCCACGGTGGTCTGGAGTAAGTGTTTACTTCCCATGTCATATATCATAATTACCATTATTTATGAGCTGGATCCATAAAGAACTGTGAAAATGTACTCGGCTAACGCGCAACAGATCGTTCCAAGACGAAATTGACTTCGCAAAGGGAGTCCGTAAACTTTGCAAGGAATACAATATCCTCTTCATCGCCGACGAGGTACGAATGGGATCCGGCAAGACGGGCAAATTTCTTTGCTCCGAGTGGTTAGGCGCAGAACACAAGCCAGACATGGTGGTGTTGGGCAAATCAATCACTGGTGGTGTTTTCCCTGCCTCGTACATTCTTGGATACGACGATACCATGAGTCTGGTCAGACCCAACCAGGTGGCAAGCACCTACGCAATGGGCCCTGCAGCCAACGCAGCAGCCCTTGCCGCTCTGAGGCTCTACGCCGACCCTAAGATTCTGAATCGAGCCTGGGTCATTCAGGAGGCGTGGCTTGAAACCACTTCAAAGTGGCGTTACCCATTCATCCAGTATTGCACGGCTCGAGGTGCTGACCTCGTCATTCTGTTGAATGAGGGTTGCGATGGGGTCACTGCTCGCCGTGTTGCAAGATTGGCGTACACATATGGCATTCTCATTTATCCTCAGAAGCCCAGAATTCGGTGCAGCGTTTCTCTCACCATCACGGACGAGGAACTTAGCAGGGGACTCAAAATTCTCACACAGGTTATGGATGAGGTTACTCAATATGGAGAGATTCCTGGCTCTACGCATATTGTTGATGACGTGGATGCCGGTTTCTGATGAGAAAAATCACGATAGAATAAAAAGGGGACGCCAAGAGATTGGTCATGGGAGACAGCGTGGTCGATAGTGAAACCACGTCGTTATGGCAGATCTATATGCTGGTACTTATACAACCCCAATCATGTACACTGGAGTGATAAATAATTCCAAAGTGAGATTACATCTCCAGCATGTCATGCTCCTCCTACCAAATATAAGATCTGCATGATTCTTCTTATTCATTCCAAAACGCGGGGAGCCTCCACATCCGCTTATCCAGATTCTAGACCTTTATTTGACACTTGCATCAAATACGGTATAATACTCATTTTAAAGATAGGTACATAGGTCGAGAGTAAGTGTAATTACGATTTCCTACTGGTACGGTATGTCAAAGTACTATTCAAATGCGGAACAAATGCGGAACCCGTATTCCGATATTCATAGCTTCACCTTCGAAGCGGATTCGCCTCGCACCGTCGATCTAGGCAGCCTTTCTTTCCAGAACTCATCCGTCAATTCCTTTGCAACTCGTCCCCCCTCCTCAATGGCACCATCAATGAATCCTCTCCATCCCGTAGCCCAATCACTACTTGCAAATAAGATGTTCCCTTGACGTTGCCTCAAATCATCCAGGTACTCGGTTGCCATCTTCGGTCGAAGAAACTCCCAAGTACCTTTAGAAAAGTCATCCTCGTTCCAGTCATGAAATACTATACGTTTCACATCCTTAAATTGATCCGGGGCCAAACTACGCCCTGCGTTGAGAGCGTCCTGCCCATTGTTGGCCTTAGATCACGCTAATTGTGGGAAGGCCATCTTGTAATCCGCCTGTGGGAGTCCAATGATACCCTTCGCGGGAAAACAGGAGATGGCGATCTGGCATAATGGAGGATGAGAAATGCAAATGGGTTTGGCAACCTAACTATTCAGAGTGGAAGAAAGAGAGAGACGGATTGAGAGGTACAAGTATTACAACTGCAGAGAACCGTAGATTGTTCCTATTGTTGAGTATCGTTGTCGTTCATAAGCACTTTGCAGAGGGCTTCATGATTCATTCCCACCATCAAAGCAACATTTAACTGTGGCTTATCGATTTCGGGCTTTCCTAAATTCCCTGTCGTGGCATTAAAGTGGTACATCGGAAATCGGAACTGTCACTTCGGAAGTCCCTTTTCAAGGCGCAAGCTATAGTTTAATAGATACCGAGAAGCTCAAGAGTGAGTACCTAAGTATTCTCAAGACGTATGGCTGGCTGACTTGATGTGTGATAAGGGAACAGAGTGGAAGGATGTGAAAATCATGTTTAAAGACATTCGACTCGCATTTCGGGAGAAAATCGACTACTCCATCCAAGTCACAGTCTTATAGTATAGGAATTTATTAAGTCCTTAATAGCTATTAAACCATCCAAATCTACTCTTCTTTACTCCGCTATAAGGAAGAGGATACTCATTATATACAGTTATAGAGTTAATATATATAGTACCAGACTCTAATTTATTAGTAATACGGAATACCTTTCTTAGGTCTTCTATAAAGATTAATACTATTAGTCCGTAGTCTGTATTATTAGCTAAGGTAATAGTATTATCTAAAGACTTAAAGGTAAATAGTAAGATACTGAGCCTGAATAACTCGCTGCTATAAAGATCTATTAACTTATTAATATTGCTCAGGATAACTAATTGTATTCTGTTTTTAACCTAGCCCTAGTAAGTATTGCTAAATAGATCTAGTAGTTTTATACCCTTATTAATAGTATCTGATATAAGTACTTGGTTTTTTTGAGCTGATTCTGTAGTTATAATAATAGGAGTATTATTCGTAGATCCGAAGAGATCCTGAATAGCTTTTTTTAGGATATTCCTGAACTTTACTGCTATTAAACTTTGGACTAAGGTATATTCGGTAGATATATAAATTTATCCGGCCTTTTCCTTAAATATCAGCTACTGAATTCTTAAGGGATTATTACTTAGGCACCTATATTTAAAAAGGCTCCTTATATATAGTACTAGGCAGCTTGCTCGAGCTCTATATCCTTTAATATAATAGTACTAGTCTTTCCGCTAAGCTCTATAAGAACAGGCTTTAAATATTTACCAGCAGTCTTAGAGATAATACTACTAACCCTGGTACTTCTAGTAAAGTTGATCTTCCTTATATCTGGATATAATATAAGAGTATTAATAGTGGTTTCTATATCCCTGGGAGAGTAGAAGATAAGATTAAGAGCTCTATCTGGTAATCCAGCCTTATAGAAAATATTAATAATACCCTAATAGTATTAAGAAGAAAGCTCTGTACCCTTAAGAATAGTAGTATTTCTAGTTATAAGTATAAATAAGATAGAGTAAAGTCTAAGGTAGTATAATATATTCCTATTATATATAAAAATATTATTAGGGTAGTTAATACTGGGTACTGGATAAAAAGATAAATTACCTACTATAGTATAATACCTAGGTTTACTCTATACAGCTGTTTATAAATAATAGCTTTTATTCTATTATAGTTGGACTCTGGTATTATTCCCTGGATAGCTCTAGATATATATCCGGCTGTATCCTTTAGCCTATTGATAGTAAGATCTAAAATAAAATCCTGGTAGTCTTAATTAGTACTAATTTCGTAATATATATAGTTACCAAGTTCTGCTCGTTGCTTATCTATAATATGGGCTGCAGTAAGAAATATCTCTCGTTGAGCGGATACCTTGGTCTTAGACTACTGTAGGAAGGTGACCTTGGCGCTCTGAATCGTATTATCGAGATGCTGTTTCGTAGCGCAGGAAATATTTCATACTTGCTTGCCTGCCAATGGACTTACAACCGGGTGAGAACCTGCGGTCTCGATATCCTTTCCATTGATAACGAGGGGAATGGTCGTGTTGGTGGTACTGAGACTTCGACTTGACACATTGAGCCAATGTTTCGGCTGATGGATGAAAGCAGACTGACGCGATGCACTTCTAAGCATGATTTTTTTTTTGGGCTTGTATCTGGTCTTGTTGTTTGATGTACCTCTTCACTGACAGCATGAGGATGCACTTGTAATCGTGAGTCTTTAACTTATCTGATCGGCAGGCCACACTCCAACTTCCAAGAAAACGGGGATACAGNGGGTATGGGGATAGGGGATTATTCCGCCAGCCAAGCGATAGCTTGCAATTGGTCACGGAACTTCCGAAGCGGATAATGCACTTCGCAACAAGTCTAAGTCTGTTGGGATCAGCCGGATATTATCCGCTACCTCACCCTACCTGGTTTCTTTCCGTTTGAAAACTACACCATGTCGCCCTCTAGCATGAGCTACGATAACACAAGGCGATCTGAGCCATCAAGCTCCTGGGCAACACGCTAGGGCACCACTATCAGTATAATAAGTTTTAGGTAATTTACTACTAGATAGGTTAAGTTTTTTACCTTTAACTCAACAATTCTTTAGTTTATCTCTATAGATATTTCTTTATCACTCTTTACCTTTTACCAGCTCTTGATAAATAAAAATCTTTTCATTATTTGTAGTTATCCTCTTGATCTATACAGTTGAAATTCGCTTATATACTAGGATATCGTTTGGTTATACTGAGTAACTATAGCCTTATATACTTATACTGAGATAATCTTCTATCTCCCTCTGGTAGTATATCCTTATTATCAAACTCCTATCTATCGATCTATTTATACTTATATATCTCTCTCTCAGTAGTAGGATATCTATTTTCTCCACGGAGCTATAAAAATATAGACCTGGTAGCTATCTCTGAATAATCTTTCCCGTGGTCTAAGTTATTAAGATTAATAGTAATATTATTAATACGTATATCAAGTAATGGTACCTGCTTCAAACATATTACCAGACCTCTATTATTAGTAATATTCTTATAGTTCCAAGCCTAGCTAGCAAAGTATAAACTATAAGAGCTCTTATACTTTGTGTGAATTTGTACCTTAAGAAGACAGTCCTTTACAGCTGTTTTCCCAAATAGCTCAAAGGGAATAATTAGTGAAAGCTCATAGAAATCCGCTTGGGACAAGAACATTAGCCGAGCCTCATCTGAACGACTGATTTCAGTTGGAACAGAAACAAGTGGCGTTAGCACAGGTGTACCCATGTTTGGAGGAAATATATGCAGCAGGTGCTGTGTAAGCGGGGTGGACCCGGCCTTTCTGACAGCGTATCAGAAATGCTGATACCTATGTCTCACATGCCAGCTGATGGTGGCTCGCTGGTATTATCCACCCCTTGCTAATCGTTTTCCGTTTTCCATTTTCATCTCTTTCCCATGCTTATTGTCCTATCGACCCATACTGACCAAGGAACGTTTCATTTGTCCACGAATTCGTGGGCTGTGGGTCTGTCCACGTATCAGGGGGCTGTCCGCATTCGGGGGTTGTGAAAAGGGAAAATAGGAAAAAAAAAAAAAAAAAGGAAAGTGGAAATAATTAAAAATATAGAAATAGAAAAATGAAAAGGGAAATAATAGAGGTATACGGAGTAATATAAGTTAATTAAGTTTTGGTAATTATATTCAGAGATACTGAGCTAAGTAGGTATAGGGTAGTACTATAGTGCGGAAGCAGAGCAATATAGGGGCTAAGGTTAGTACCTAGGTACTTAGGTTAAACCGGGTACTTCGGGTTTAGGTTTAGCTGATTTCCGATAGCTGAGGGTACTACCGTCTGATACAGCGAAGGTATACTACAGTAAGATAATGGAAAATATACTGCAACGTGTGCTAACACAATACAACAGACCGTGTCTATTTCTCCAGTCTGCCTATAATATTATAACTTCAAGGATAGAAGTATAAGTATAAAACAAAATAGCTATAAATAAAACTACAGTATATCCCTGGAAACTATCAGATATACTAGTTGCTAGAAATCTTAGGTAACTATAAACTCTAAATATAGCTTTGGTATATAGTTAGACTCTGAACAGACTAAAATACTATATATAATATTATAAATATTTAGAATTTAATTTTATATTTTAAATTACCTAGCTCTAAGCTCCGGAAAGGTAATATAAATATTATATTACTATTCCCCTAATATCTTTAGATCTTTCTAAGCTTCTCTAAGAATTTCTCTTATCTAATAATAAAGTACTTAATGCTCCCTTATAATAGGTTATAAGTAACTAGATATAATAGTCTTATAGAGAAAGAGACTTTATTATAATACTAAAGCTTAGAGAAATAAGTTCTTCTCTAAGGGTTTACTATAGGATTTTCCTCTTTTACTAAAGAAGTTTTATCTGATTTTTAAGATAATAATATAGTTTATAATTTTATTACTTATCTATTATAACTATCTCTCTCTTTAGAGAAACTATTTTCTAATAATTATAAATAATAATAATATTACTCTCTATAAAGTTTAGAATATTTTATAATTTATATAATATTTATTTACTCTATATATTATACTTAGAACTAGCTGTAACTAGCTCAGGTATTATAGATAAGTTTTTAGTTATTAGCTACAGAGTAGCTGTAGTTAGATAGCTTATAGTTAAAACCTAGGTTTATAATATCTTTACTTATATATAAGATAATATAATTCTTAAGGCTTAAGTTCTTTCTATCTACTAGCTGTTTATAGCTCTTTTACAGGGGGCTCTATATAGCCCCTGTTTATAGTATAATACTATATTTATATATTTTGAAAGGTCAAGGCCTCTAGTATAGGGTAGACCAGCTGTAGGATAAGCTGGGTCTAGGGTAGGTATAGCCTATAGGGTAGGCTAAGAAATACTAAAGGGATTATTTTGAAAGATATAGTAAAAGAAGCAGTCTACTTAGTAAGAAAGAGAGGCTTTATTAGCTATAGGGTAGCTAAGAAGATAGACTATAGGGTAGATAAAAGAGTAAATTAGTAGTTTAAAGAACCTCTATCTAGTAGGGAGGAAGTCCTATACTTATAGGTATTTCAGAGCTCTAAGAGCTCTGAAGATAATATATTACCTTCTATAATACAGACTTATAACTACTATAAGGTTCTTATATAGTAGATATAAGGTCTGCTAATATAAGTACTATAGTAGATATAAAATCTACTAATATAGCTACTATAGTAGTTATAAGGTTTACTAACTAAATACTAAGGTTCTTATATAGTAGATATAAGGTCTGCTAATATAAGTACTATAGTAGATATAAGGACTGCTAATATAGCTACTATAGTAGATATAAGGACTGCTAATATAGCTACTACAGTATAATATAAGATTACTAATATAGTTACTATAGCAGCTGTTATAGTAGTTATAACTACTAATATAATTATCCTAATAGGTAGCTATAGCAGGTTAGGCTAGTAGCTTTAGCAGGCTTCTAGCTTTAGAAAGCTCTAAGTTAGTTATTTTATTCCTCCTTACCCTATATTAATCTAAGATTATTTAATTAATTAATATAGAGTAACCTGATCTACCCTATAGTCTATAGGGTAAATCTTAATAATATATATATAAATTCTAATTTTATTTACTCTTTAGTATAAAACTCTTATAATTTCTTAACTTTTTCTTTCTCTTTATATATCTTTTCTAAAGTATTTTTAATACTTTATAACTTATTAAACTATTTTCTCTTTATATAAAACTTATTCTACTTATATATAATAATATAATATTCTAAGTATAAGATTATTATTTATTTTTAATTTAATCTATTATTTAGCTCTTAATCTATTATATTTTTAAATATAGAAAATAATTAATAGTTTATTCTATTATTAATATAGATTTCTTAAACTAATAGAGTTTTAAATATAAATTATATTAAATTAAAATATAATTCTCTAGTTCTAATTTTAGCTCTTTAAATAGATTTAAATATATATTTTCTAAATAAAATTACTATATCTATCTATAGTAAATATTATTAAGTCTTTTACTTTTTTATATTCTTAATTATATTTATTTCTATTTTTAATTATACTTAATAAAGTTTATTCTCTCTAGATCTATTTTATTCTACTACTATATAATATTATTTAGATCTTATCTCTAGTATAATTTAAGTCTAAAAAGTATATTACTAGATTAATAATCCTTAGTAAAAAAACTATTATTCTAATATTTCTCTAGATCTTAATTTTATATCTATTTCTTATTATTTTATTATATTCTCTTTATTTATAACTTCTACTATTTAGATTATTTTTCTATTTATTAAAACTATTAGTAACTAGTTATAGTATCTCTTTAGAACTTATTACTCTTTATAATATAGTAAAGATATTATTAGTATATTTTCCCTTTTATACTAATCTTCTATTTTTCTAACTATTAGTTAATTTTACTCTTTTTAAGATAGTTTTAAATATAATTTAAATATTTTTTCTCTTACTATAGAGATATAATCTTTTAATTTTTTATTTATTTAGTTCTAAAGATTTAAATTATTCTTAGATTTAGATCTAAATAATAATTTCTTTTTTTTTAATTAGAAAGTAATTATAATAACTAAGAGTTTATTTTATTTTTAAACTCTATTAGTAATATTAGTAATATTAGTAGTAATAATAGCTTACTAAATAATCTTTTTTTATCTTTTAATAATAGTAATAGAAGTTTATTTTATTATTATTTAGAATCTCTAAATTCTATTAATTTTATTATTTTTACTATATAGTAAAATTATAAGCTATTCTCTCTTTAGAATTACTAGTATTTTATCTATTTATAAAGTATAATTATTACTCTCTATATAGTATATATTTATAGTAACTAACTAAATATATTAGTATTTATTAATTATTTAAAAGAAATTACTATAAGGAGCTTTTATTATATTTACTATTATTATACTAGGAAATCTTATTATTAGATAAGTATTTTAATTTTATATAGATTTTATTTAACTTTTATTAATATTTTAAAATAGCTTATTAAGTTTATAGAGAGTAATATTATTAACTTTAAGAATTATTTATAATTTAAATATAATATCTATAGTTATTATAAGA